AAATCAGAAATGACCTGATTATAAATCTATGCACCGTTTGTTGTGGGGATTATGCTTGAAAAGAAATTCAACAGTTATTATACAATTTATCAGACATGAGTTTATTTCCAAATAAGTTTTGTAGTATTGTTGAAGATGGTCATAAAAGGGTTGGTCGTGGAGATAAGAAAGTTATTAGGCGGTGTAGAAAGGATTTGATTCTGACTGATTTGATCCCGTGTGTTTTTATGGGTATGAGGTCAGATGTTACTTCCTGGCTGCCCACACCGTGGAAGGGCTGTGGTTGTCGGAAGGCGCATCGGCCTCATGAATTCCGAAAAAACTCGGCTTTTATCATGAGACGTCATAACTGTTCTAACTCTTAGAGCAGAGTTTAAATGATTTGAATTATTTTTTTATTGTTAGAGTTTTTTAGCGAGTTAGTTTTCTTGCGGGATGGGGTCGCCAAACCTAATCCCCACAGTCCTCCTTTATATCTGGGCTCAGAACCGGAAATAGCCCCGGAGGATCTTGAAAAGTAACACTACAAAAAAACCGTTAAATATAACAAGTTGTTAATTTTTAATTTAGGCAACAGCATATATAATCAAAATATAAATCTTAACAGAAATAAATAAATAAATATCATCGATCTTACCTCCAATAAATCCATGACCACCAGTTGTACCAGTTTCTGCAGGTGCAGGATTCAATTGAATATTACTTTTTACTTTTTCTAATATTTCCATTCCATCTGTATCAGGTTGTGGATGAAAAATGCCTAAAACACATTTTTCACCAACAAAACCACGTGAATGATACGCAGTGATTTGATCAATTGAATGTGATCCAACACGATCAGCTGGTGCGATTAATGAATAGCCTAAACCACATCCTGTATCACTAGTACCAAATGCAGCTTCATGCAACAATTCCATACCCACTTTTGATAGGATGAGAGATGAGATGAGATGAGACAGGAGAGAGAGACAGAGAGAATATATTAGAAATGAAAACAATTTATAAACATGTAAAAAAAATTTCAGATTAAAACAGAAGTTCGTCTGTTAGACAGACAGACAAATACAACGCAGAACTTCGTACGTACGTACGTACATCATTTCAGGTTGCCATACCACATCAGCACAGAGACAGAACTGTCAGTTCAATTACAAGAGTGATAGCGATACTAGAGTTATTAGCAGTAAGGAGTGAAGATATGATTCGAGAAGTATAATTCAGTAAGATAAATTTAGAAGGAGAAAGGTAGGTATGATGAATAATTCAGAAGATTCGAATTAGAGAGAACACAAACAGTGGATGCACCTGCGCCATTGCAAACTATTCTGAGCCATGTCGTTCAAGGTCTCTAACCATTGGTAACTTTCGTCTAGCAGACCCCAACCACGTAGCCTACATCTACCAACATGACTCAGTCCACCCGTTAACGACTTCATGCATTTCTGCAGTGTTTTGGTCTGACCGCCTCTAGGTTTCGTCCAACCTGCTCCTACACCACAAAACATAGCTCGTCGAGGCAGTCGGTGGTTAGGCATACGCACCAACCACCTCAATTAATGAATTTCCCATACTTCATCTACTGATTTGTCATCCCTACCTAGAACTCGTTTCCTAACGACAGCATTGCTTATACGTCAGTCAGTCAGTCAGTCAGTTGCAACGTAAAACTTCGTACGTAAGTACATCAGTTCATGTCGCCATACCACATCAGCACAGATATATAATTGTCAATTCAAATCCAATAGTAGAAGAGGTAGTAAAGGTATTAGAAGTAATCGGAGAGGTTAGAATTAGAAGATATTATTCACGAAGTATGATTCAATGAGATAAGTTTAGAAAGTCAAAACTAGAGGTGTTGAAGAATCCAGAAGATTAGGGTTTGAGAGGACACAAAGAATCAATGCACCGGCGCCATTGAGAACGATTTTGAGCCATGTCATTCAAGGTCTCTAACCAACGGGTATTACCATCTTGCGGACCCCAACCAGGTAGTCGACAATTACCGACATGGCTCAGTCCACTCGTCAATGACTTCATAGATTTCTGCCATGTTTTGGTCTGGCCGCCCCTAGCTTTCTTCCAACCTATTCCTACACTACAAAACAAAGTTCGACGAGGCAGTCGGTGGTTAGGCATACGCAACACATGTCCCAACCACCGCAACTGATGAAGTTTCATCACTTCATCTATTGATCTGCCCTTCTTACCTAGCACCCGTTTCCTAATAACAGCGTTGCTCACTCGGGTCTCCCACGATATACGAGCAATGCTTCGAAGACACCTATGATCGAAAAGCAGTAACCTACGAATATCTTCTACTCTCATTGGCCATGTTTCACAGCCATAAAGTAGGACGGAGCGAACTACTGCGCAGTACACTCGTCCTTTAGTCAGCAAACGGATATCTCGCCTGCGCCATAGGTGACGCAAGTTGGCAAAAGCCAATCGAGCTTTCTGTATCCGAGCTGAGATTTCGTCAGTCACCAGGCCATCGGCACTGATGAGACTCCCCAGATAAATGGAGTGAACATCACTCATGACTACTTCACTCCCTATCAATAGTTCAGGTACTGATGAAACCCAATCTTGAAGCAACATTTTGCATTTCGAAGGGGGGAAAACTGCATCCCGAACATGCTTGCATTGTTGCTCAGGGTGGTCAGAAGACTCTGCATTTTGTCAGCGTCTTCACCGAATAGAACTATGTCATCGGCATATTCTAAGTCAATAAGCGAGCCTCCTGGTAATAGGTCTACTCCTGAAAATTCAGACGAGGATAAGGTTATTTCTAGGAGCATGTCTATGATAAAATTAAACAAGAATGGAGAGAATGGACATCCCTGACGGACACCACTTGAAGTAGAGAATTCCGGTGACAGTTCGCCATAAGCTCTCACTCGACCAGTAGTGTTCCAGTAGAGAGCTTGTATAAGGTTAATGTACTTATTTGGTACACCTTTCAATGACAGACACTGCCACAGAACCTCACGATCCACTGAGTCAAATGCCGCTTTTAGGTCCAGGAACACAATTTTTGTAGGACGCCTAAATGTGTGTCTGTGTTCGTCCGTTTGATAAGTTACGATAATATATAACACACAATGAGACGTAGAAGTCTATTAGAAAGTAAGTAATACGTTTTGAACAAGTTAATTATCATGTGTCAATGGCTAACAATAAACTTATCATCATAAACTGATTGGTATAGGCAAATTGACTGCATTTTTTAGTAAAATCAAATATAAAACAAAGCTAGCTTCAAAATTAGTGATTACTATAATGAAAAATGTAGATGAAAACTAAATGAGTTAGAGTTACACCATGAAAATGTTGTCGCTTTTGATTTTAACAGAGGCCTTCGTCGGAGATGGAAACCGTAGGGTAAGGGTAAGATGTGACATTTTTAAGGTCGATTGTTTCTAATAATTCCCTTCCTTGTGAGAAGACAGAATCGCTGCAGAAGCTGGTTGTCCGAGCGAAACACCTTACTGCTGTCACACTTCTCTACAATCAGTAGTACAACTTCACCCTCAGACCTTAGGTTGCTACTTTTAGTCTCACCGTTCTCTAATCAACATGTCTGGCAAGGTAGGACCTAAAGAAACAGGTGTTCCAGTCAATACAGATCGGTTGGGTCATCATGATAGGCAAGCCCAACCACCATGTCTAGTTAGCAGCTATGGTCGGGTTTATGTACTGGAAATAAATGTGATAACTAGGGTAGCGTTTGTTCATTACATAATATAATAGTATCATATATTTTTAATGAACTTTGTCTTTTAATCAAAATTTTTAAGTAATACACAATGTAATAGAATTTTTATCCATAGGCTGACGTAACTTAAAAACCTGGAAGCACTGGACGGCCGTTTCGTCCTGGTATGGGACTCCTCAGCAGTGCGCATCCACGACTCCTGCACCCCGCAGGATTTGAATATTGATCGATTCATGGTTTCAAAAATGTGTAACTGGACAATCTTCACAACCCCGTAATGTAAATTACCTGTGCTTACTAGTGACTAGCTTCGTGAGGAATCTTCTCCGAGTTCTGGTGGGAAGACGTGACCAGTGAAGTTCTACCTGTTCGGGTGTAAACAGTAACTACCGAAGACTGTGTGTGAGGTTGCGCAACTGCGTGAATTGATTGAAGTTAGACATTAACATCGTTAGATACCGGTTGAGTGGTCCGATGGTTAGGCGTTCGTGCACAATACCGAAGGTCCTGGGTTCGAACCCTGCGGGGTGCAGGAGTCGTGGATGCGCACTCCTGAGGAGTCCCATACCAGGACGAAACGGCCGTCCAGTGCTTCCAGGTTTCTAATGGTGGTCTAACATTGATCAATTCATGGTTTCAAAAATGTGTAACTTAAAAAAATAAAACTTGTAAAATCAACTTACATTCACTTAATTTGCGTCGGTTGAGAATATCAACATCTTTACTCATTAACTTATAGACAATATCTTTCAATTCCCATGAATAATAACATGGAGATGAAGCCATAGAGCATAAGAGTGTACCAGCACGGAAAGCAAAATTTGGTGCAACATCTACTGTATAGATCATATGTTCACGGGTTGTAGTACATCTGAATAGAAAAAGTAGAATGATTATCAATTAAAGTACAATATACATGATAGAATTATGACTAAAAGAGTGGTCAACAAAAAATAACCTACGTTGAGATTGTCTATAATATTATTGATCAGGGCAATAGTTAATATGGATACGTGAAATGCCCAATGTCTGGGGGATCTGAATGATCCTTTAAATAACTGCAGAAAACAGAATGTGCAACCTAACTGTGGTTGAGATAAGTGAAACTCATTGAAGATAGGCTGGAAAGAAAAGATTTTGATTTCGACCAGATTGGTCTCTCGTGCTGTTTTACGGGTATGAGGGCGGTTTTCACTTCCTGGCTGCCCACACCGTGGAAGGTTGTTTCTTGAGGGACCTGAAAAGGAAGATAGATTAGTGTTGGTCTCGGAGACCTGGGAGCGTGACCACACAGCCCAAGGGACAACTGCTTGAGGCCGGTCACTCACGGCCTTTTTATGAAAGGTATTTTGAGGATTAGCTCCGTTCTTAAAGGCCCTTAGTGGGCACCCTTACCCAAGGAGACGGAAATCCGTGAGGTAGGGTGAGGTGTGACATTTTTAGGGTCAACCTTTTCTAACCCATTCCTTCTTTGTGAGAAGGCAGCATCTGTGCAGATGCTGGTTGTCCGAGGGAAACACCTTACTGCTGTCACACCCCTCTGCAGCCAGTCAGCAGTACGACTTCGCCCTCAGACCTTGAGTAGCTGCTTTTAGTCTCATCTTCCTCCAATCGACCTACCTTGCATTATAGAACCTACAGGAACATATGTTCCAGCCAGTATAGCTCAGTTGGGTCATGACGATGGGCGAGCCCAACCATCACATCAAGCCAGCAGCTACGGTCGGGGGAAAGAAAACATTAAATTCAGATGTTGTATTCCGACCATGAAGAATATGCTTCACACACACACACAAGGAGCTGCATTGATGTCATTTTAGGATGGGAAACCCATAGTGTCAGGATCATCAAAACATCCTCCAAAGCAAAGAAAAAATTACAAGGAATGCCATCCAGTATTAAAAATCCACCAATAATGGAAGCAAACATGATAAGAATAAGTTTTATGAGAGACCATAGTCCGTCTAAGAGTTATACACAGCAAAAGATCTGATCATTCTGATGAAGGACCAAATTACCAAGGTCGGGACAGGTAAATACTGAGTAGAAATGCATCATAACGCGACACAGGCCGGGAGAAGGAAAGTGAGAATAGCAATAAACAATAAATCATTGTGTTTCTTTTAGGAATGTTGGCGAACTTCTTCTGGACAGAGAACTGACTGGATTGTTTAAGAAAGTTAGAGAAACAGAGTTTTGTGGCATCC